AGTTTCGGTCGAATCAAACTGCTGTTTTTGTGAAGAACACTCTATTTATAACCGCTTATTATACCATTTTTAGATACGAATGGCTGCAGCAAGTGATAATTCGTCACGTAAATGTCAATTTTCATCGTCACAAGACACTTGTAAGAAAATCGGAATGATCAAATGTGATGGTTGTTCCAGTCGTTATTGTAAAGACCATTTCTCAGCACATCGTCGACTTATTGATGAACAATTTGATCGTCTTTGTTCAGATCGTGATCTTCTCTACCAAGAAATATATAACTCAAACGCTTCACCATCAACACCAACCCATCCATCACTTGAAGAAGTTAATCAATGGGAGCACTCAACAATTCAGTTAGTACAAAGAACGGCCGAAAACGCTCGTCAGAGAGTGCTGGAGCTGTTATATGAAAATAAAATCAAAGTTAAACAAGAATACGAACAGTTTTCGAACGAACTCAGGCAACGAAAAGATAATGACGACTATTTTGAACCAGATATTGAAATGTTAAGTCAAAAGCTTGAACAATTGAAAATTGATGTTACCTGTGAAATTAACAAGAAAACAATTCAAGTAAAAGTTCATCCGATTCATTGGCCAAGGGTTTTAAATGTACATAATTCAATCGAGATGAACAATTGCAAAGTGAACAATAAAGAGATTAGTAACGTTGAAAAATTACCACAGAGGCAAGCAATTGCTAAAAATAGGAAAGTGAACTATTTTGTTGGCGGTTCACTTCTTAGTCATGAGGATCAAATGAAACTTAATGAGTTTTATGATAACAGGGATCAACAATGGCAATTAATTTACAAAGCGACGAGAGATGGGTTTGATGCTAGTACTTTTCATCGTTTGTGTGACGGAAAAGGACCGACAATGACCATCATTCTATCAACCGACAATTATTTATTTGGCGGTTATGTAAGCGTTAGCTGGCGATCTGTCAATAGATGGGAAACAGATACATCGGCTTTTATCTATACGTTGAATAACCCACATCGAATACCACCAACAAAATACAAAATTAAAGATGGTGGTAGACGCGCCATTTGGTCAAATTCGAGCTATGGTCCTACTTTTGGCTATTTTGATCTCATCGTTGAAGCGGACAGCTACAGAACATTAAAAAATCCGCATTACAGTCAGTTTCCCGCAGATTATGTTGATACAACTGGCAAGGCTAACTTAACATTTACTGAAACTGAAAAGTTTAGCGCTGCCGACATTGAGGTCTATGCATTAGCTAGATAAAGTATTTTTTTAACCTGTGAAATCAAGGCAATAGCTTGTCGTTCCTTTGAGATCCGAGCGGGGCCCTTTCTGATCCGATTGCCATCTGATATCAATATCTGAAATCTTGGAGCTTTACTCTATCCGGTCGAATTAGAAGAAATGGATGAAATTTTGTACCACTTTCCCTGTAAATGGGACGAACTTCCACCGAAATCGATGTTACGGAATTAGGATATATCTCTACTTTGAAAATATTTTAATTGTTTCTACATCAACAGCAGATATGTAATCACCGTTTCTGTTATTGAGCTTAGCCTTGAGCACCTTACTTAATTTTAGAAGACGCTGCAAGTATTTCTAGTGATATATTGTAAAATGAATGTCATGCGCCAATATCAATGCACGCAAAACGAGAAAAAGTAAAGGACTACGATAGATAAGTATCGAAATCTACCTCCAAAAATTTTGATTCCGGCAGTTTTGTAGCTCGCATGGTCACGAACGTTTTGCACTATCAGCTTTTGAAATTGGAGTCTATCACACGGTCAGAAATTAGCGTTAGAAAAGTAAATGACAACTTTTTCGAGAAAAAAGAATAAAACATCAGCCAAATTTTGAGAGAAAATTACTGGTACAGTCAGCCACATACTTTGAAAAGGAAAATTTTTCTACAGGTCAGGCTCATCATGAGCCTAATGAAGTATCGTTAGGTATTATTTGATGTGAAATTTCATTCTCTGAAACTAGAAATTTCTTTATTTGTCATCTAAAATGCAAAAGAGAGACGAAAAAATGTTTTTTCCGACATATTATATTTCGCCCAATATAGTCATTTTTAGAGTATTTTGTCCTGACCTGTAGAGAAATTTTCTTTTTCAAAGTATCACCAGAATGTGGCTGACTGTACTAGTAATTTTCTCTCAAAATTTGGCTGATGTTTTATTCTTTTTTCTTGAGAAAGTTGTCATTTACTTTTCTAATGCTAATTTCTGACCGTGTGATAGATTCCAATTTCAAAAGTTGATAGTGCAAAATGTTCGTGAGCAAGCGAGTTACAAAACTGCCAGATTAGAGTATCAATAGTTTTATTAGATAAAGGGTAGATACTTAAAGTGGAATAAAGAGAAAAAAATGTGAGATTTTAATCTGAAGAAAAACACGTAAGAGTTTCTTCTTTCTCCATTTTCGTTTACTAAATCAGAAAAGTTGGAAAGAACCAGGAGATTTAAAACGTACTCAACTCTTTTTTGTTATAACAAAAAAGAGTTGAGTACGTTTTAAATGTCCCAGTTGTTTTTTATATCCGTAAAAGTTGATTTAACCTGGCTATGTTTCAACTTTAAACTTCAAGGTTTGAGAGCCATCGTAGATAAAAGTTATAAAAAAAAGTACAAACTATCCCATAGCTAGGCGAGTTCAAGTCATGACTCATACTCGGCTCGATCTCCAGATGAAAGGCTGGTGAAACGGAAGAAAATGCCTCGAGATCATATCGTTTTTACCTCGGACCTTCCACCCAACACCGAAGGACTTCTG